ATCGGCAATTGACCCGAGTTAACTACGCCAATTTTACACAAAACATACATTATCTACTGTCGGAAAAGAGAAAATTGCCCTCTGTCAAGTTACATTTAAATAAGTGTTCGAAGCGTGACAAATTGGCGCATCAATATTTCATTACTGAGTGCTGGCGTCTATTGATCTCATGGAGAGCTGAGTAACTGCACTCGAATTGCTCGACTATGACGTTTGGACAAACATACCATGTACATACATACCTGTGAAATGTAGAAAATAGCAATATCGTAGCTTCCGTACACACACTGAGTCTAGGGAGAGTTCTATTTCAACATGTTTGCGTTCATTCTTTCAATCGTGAAATACTACCATAGACCGTCGCCCGTGTATAGTAATCCGTGGCACGGGGTTACTCCTCAGTAAAAGAGAGTCATGGTTCCGAAAGTCACCGTTTTAGTCAAGCCATAAATGGCACATAGAAGGTAGGAATACCGCTTCCTTGGTTACACTGATAAAATAAATATCACTATGAAAAAGTCCACTTAAAAACAGGAACACAGTTGGTAATTGTTCCCTGATATATTGTTTGTATGTGTTCTGTTCTTATCTTGATATGTGCAGCAGTGAAGTTTGATAACATCCAGCCAAGTCGTGGTGTGAATGGAGCTGTCGTGAATGGGGGCGTTAAGGAAATTTAAACATGTGACTTCAAATATTGAAGGTCGATTAATATCAGTACACTTTGTTCGGTTTAATCACACTTTGAACCAAAACCCTTTTGCCTAACCACCGAACAAGGGTAAAGTGCTGACACGGCACGAAGTGATTGTGGGGTGTATCTGACATTCCACATTACTAGAAGTGGATCTATATCCTGGCACATATAAGGGAGACAACTAGAACGAGCTTTGATGGGTATCCTATATCAAGAGGGAAGACAACATTCTATTATAGATGAAGGATGTATAATATACGATTTGACAAAGATGCATTTAACAGTTCATCTACGATTGGGGCACATTCTGGCGAATGGGTTATATTACACGGTAAAGGATAGGAGAAGGGACTGTACAGACGAAGGTCATAGTATACCATAGAATAAGGGGTCATGTTATACATTTGACGAAGCGGTTATCTTATACTATAGAAGAAATTATCGTATACCATGGAAAAGAGGTTGACATACTTTAGACGAAGGGGTCATCCTAATTACTGTAACAGAAGGGGTTACCTTATATAAAGTTGGAGGGGGTATCTTATACTGAAGAAGGAGTTATATTATACTTTAGCCGAAGGGGTTATCTGATCATAAAGGAGAAGGGGGTATATTAAACTCTTTCACACGGGGTTATTTTATGCTATTGTGGAAGGGGTTATCCAATTCTCTAGACGAATGAATTAACTTATTCTAAAGAAGAAGTGGGTGTCATAAACCATTGATAATAGCGTTATCTTATGCTATAGACGAATGGGTTATGTTATACTTCAGACGAAGGGTTATCTTATACTGCTGACGAATAAGTTATTCTATACATAAGGCGAAGGGGTTATCTTATACTGCTGACGAATAAGTTATTCTATACATAAGGCGAAGGGGTTATCTTATACTGCTGACGAAGAAGTTATTCTATACATAAGGCGAAGGGGTTATCTTATACTGCTGACGAAGAAGTTATTCTATACATAAGGCGAAGGGGTTATCTTATACTGCTGACGAATAAGTTATTCTATACATAAGGCGAAGGGGTTATCTTATACTGCTGACGAAGAAGTTATTCTATACATAAGGCGAAGGGGTTATCTTATACTGCTGACGAAGAAGTTATTCTATACATAAGGCGAAGGGGTTATCTTATACTGCTGACGAATAAGTTATTCTATACATAAGGCGAAGGGGTTATCTTATACTGCTGACGAATAAGTTATTCTATACATAAGGCGAAGGGGTTATCTTATACTGCTGACGAAGAAGTTATTCTATACATAAGGCGAAGGGGTTATCTTATACTGCTGACGAATAAGTTATTCTATACATAAGGCGAAGGGGTTATCTTATACTGCTGACGAAGAAGTTATTCTATACATAAGGCGAAGGGGTTATCTTATACTGCTGACGAAGAAGTTATTCTATACATAAGGCGAAGGGGTTATCTTATATCAAGGGAGAAGGGGTATCTTAAACGATTGGCAATGGAGTTTTCTTAAGTAAATGATGAATGGGTTATGTTATACTTTAGACTAAGGAGTTATTTCATTGTCTTATACTAAAGGAGAATGGGGTATCGTAAACAATAGACAGAGAGATATATTATACAATAGACGAAGTACACTATAGACTAAGGGTTATCTTATACAATAGACGAAGTACACTATAGACCAAGGGTTATCTTATACAATAGACGAAGTACACTATAGACTTAGGGTTATCTCATATAATAGACGAAGTACACTATAGACTATGGGTTACCTTATACAAGAGACGAAGTACACTATAGACTAAGGGTTATCTTATACAATAGACGGAGTACACTATAGACTAAGGGTTATCTTATACAATAGACGGAGTACACTATAGACTTAGGGTTATCATATACAATAGACGGAGTACACTATAGACTAAGGGTTATCTTATACAATAGACGGAGTACACTATAGACTAAGGGTTATCTTATACAATAGACGAAGTACACTATAGACTAAGGGTTATCTTATACAATAGACGGAGTACACTATAGACTAAGGGTTATCTTATACAATAGACGGAGTACACTATAGACTAAGGGTTATCTTATACAATAGACGGAGTTATCTTTAAAATGGAATGGGTTTTGATACTATAGACCAAGGGGTTACTTATGTTTAAAACAATATAGGAAGGGGTTATCGTTTATATTAGACCAAGGGGTTACCTTGTACTACAGACCAAGGATTATCTTATGTCATACGCGGAGTTATCTTGTATATTAGAGGAAGGGGTTATCGTATACCATAGGCGAATGTGTTATATTCTATATCAGACGAAGGAGTTATTCAATGCTGTAGACGACGGAATATTATACTGTAGAAGAAGGGCGTTTTATGCAATACAAGAAGACAGTATCTTATACCTTGGAAGAAAGAAGTACATTGTGGTGTAGACAATGAAGTGCTTGGTAAAACAGTAGGCGAATGAGGTCCCCCAAACAATGGAAGAGCGGGTGTCCTATATGAGAGGGGACGTACCTAATACAGGAAGAGAAAGGAGTGTTTTCATAATAGCTATGTACGAGGGCTGTATATAGTAAGTATCCACAGTACTATATAAGAAGGTAGGAAGAAAGTAGTATCGTATACCATTTAGGTATGAGGCATATTATACTCTAGAAGAAGTTTTATATTCGTCATTATATTACGAATTGCAGTGGTGCTTCATCTTATGCTATGGAAACTTTGAAAAGACACTCAAGACCTGTCTCTTTCAAGATATTCTTTTATCAGATCAATCATGCCCTAAATTCATTTGAGCAGTTGTTAATTAGAAAATACAAATTCTTAATTTAATTTATATCCAGGAAGACGGTATCGTATACAACAGAAGAAAGAGTGAATCGAACTTGATTTGAGTGTGATGAAAGAACACAGCCCCTCCTACATGTCATCATCACAGCGGAAGATATGGATTGCTAAAGTTAACTTTCATAAAGGGAGTCGGCCAAACAATGGACACAATACACAATACACAACAACACCGCGTATTGTCCCAGAAACATCACGGCGGGGACACAAGAAATGCGTTTCACATATTGAAACCATGCGGGGAATCGAACCCGAGCCTTCGGCGTGACGATCGAACGCCTACACCTCGGGGGTACCCCAAATGCCCCACCCAAACCGCCCAATCACCAAAGAAATAAGAACCAAAATCATATACAGTAAATTACGCTTATTATGATCACGCTTATAACGAGCTGACGAATATAACTTAATTTTTGTCCCGGTCATTTACTATATATATGCTATATACAGTCAACTACGGTTATAACGAACTCGCTTATAACGAACTGACGGATATAACGAACTTACTTTTTGGTCCCGACTATTTGCTGTAGTTATGCTGTATATATGCTTATAACGAACTACGGTTATAACGAACTAAAATTAGAAGTCCCTTTGAGTTCGTTATAACCGAGGTTTACTGTATATGCATATGTATATGCTTATAACGAACTATGGTTATAACGAATAGTTTACTGTATCTGCAACGTAAACAGCTTGTAGCGTGGATGTATCACATGGAATAGTGTAATGTGTACAGTTCCCACATTGAGTAACCATGTACCACATGCACACATATAACGTTCATGAGCTGTTTCACAGGAACTGATGACACTTGAACATACCACCATGTGCACAACACGTCCTTTCACCAAAATTAGCTTCGTGGCCATAACTACCCCTTCAACGAAGAAATGAAAACTTAGAATGAAGTTTGCACTGTGATATGTTCTGTCAGCGCCTACATTAAGCCCTCGCCATTAGGAAACACTTAAGACACCAAGCGGTTGTGTATTCAGGGTTTTGGGACGCCAGAATGTAACTATACCCCACCAGTTATATTATGTTTTCTTCCCTAAGGCAACAAACTATTGCAGTTACTGTGAAAACCTAGTTACATCGCACGCCGGGAATGCTCTGAAGCAAATGATTTCACTGAAAGTTTCCATTCACCAGACCAACTAAAGCGTACTGCAGTTATATCGTGTATGATATATTAAATGCATTGTGAAGGCGTACAGAACATTCTTAAACGTTCAGACAATCCATCCTTTGAAATCAATGGCTTTAAGTTCATTCGAAAATACCAAGTACGTGTTTCATGGTGCATGGTGCACATAAATGTATTTTTTCCAGGCAAGGTCACAACACAACTTGATGTAGACAGAGAGGAACCAAGTGGAGTGTATAGTGCTACACGCATCTTCATCAATCACATGCCTCATCAAGTTCGTTGTGTTAAAACGTTTCCCAGACTGACCTACCTGCAAGAAAGCACGCTGACAATGGCTGGGGAACCGCACCGGTAGAATACTCCATCACCGCTAGGGAGCGCGCACCATCTGCAGATATCAAAATAGAGGATATACACCCGGATGTCACACCAAATACCTGGACATCAAACGTCATAACATGCGTACATTTACACATTCGGAAGGCTGGCAGCTCGATGCTTTTAAAATCGACAATCACTATACAGGCCAAAAAAAAGAATGGCGTTAAATGCATTGTAACATCTGTGTTGCGTGGGCAAAAACTTTTGACACACCTGGTGCGCCATGCGTATCTCCTTGCTTGCGCGAAGGATGTCACGGTGACGCAGGATACACCCACCTCGACCCAGACACCTGGTGCGTTATGCGTATCTCCTTGCTTGCGCGAAGGATGTCACGGTGACGCAGGATACGCCCACCTCGACCCAGACACCTGGTGCGCCATGCGTATCTCCTTGCTTGCGCGAAGGGTGCCACGGTGATGCAGGATACACTCACCTCGACCCAGACACCTGGTGCGTTATGCGTATCTCCTTGCTTGCGCGAAGGGTGCCACGGTGATGCAGGATACACTCACCTCGACCCAGACACCTGTTGTCGTCCGTGTTTGATGGTGATTCGTATGTCACATTCTTGTGATACAGTCCGAATGGTGCAATGGATTTTCGTACGTACTTCCTATGATGACGATATGGGTTTTGTCGCTATTATTTTTAATTAATACATACATTTGTTGTTGTATTTGTCATAACGACGTGAATTCTATTACATTTGTATGTACGTGTATTAAACAGATATTAAATGGCATTCATGCATGGCTTTAATTGGATGAGCAGGAACAATACATATCCACGTAGCAGGGCTTTCAAAATAAGCATGCACAGTTCTGGGGATCCGTATTGAAAGCTAATTATGGACCCTGTTTCCCCAGCTGCTTCCTAAGATAGCAACATAGCTAAACAGTAGTCAATGTCCCATAATCACTCTGAATTTGGTATATGGAAATTATTTTGTCCGTTATATGAAAATGTAAATATATAATTCAAGAAGTACTGGCTGAACGTGACGATTGTTGGAAAACTTGCCTCCTTCAATGCAAGCAGATCAAGTCACGTCTTAGTAAGATATTTTCCCGGACAATACAACATTTCAATAATGGTATTTTCACATTTTAAGAAACTGAATTTGCCACTGTTCTCATGAAAAGTTTCAGACTAAAATTCCCACTTTTGTAATAAATTCATCGTTTAACAACGCGTTATACATGTATAGTGGTTCGAGGTAAATACTTCAGATGGATTCGACTATTTACAGACCACCGTCATATAGCTGGAATACTGCTGAGTGTGACATTAAACAACAGACGAACAAAACAAACATCAAATGAATTCGAGGTTAATGACGAGCCTTTGTACTATATCAGCTCCCGAATAATTTAAGTGTTTTGTTTGTTCGTTGTAACGCTGCACTATTATGCAATGTTCCATCTATATGACGGCGATCTGTACGTAATCGAGTCTGGTCCAGATAATCCAGTGATTGACATCATGAGCATCGATCCACGCAACTGGGATAAGATGACATGCTTCAACTAAGTCAGCGAGCTTGACCACCCGAACCCGTTAGTCGCCTCTTACGACAAACATGGAATAATTTAAGTGAAACGCCGGAGTAAAATTATAGAATTACTGAACATGTATCACATTGCTAGCTGACAAACCATTGTCGATATACATAGCACGCACAGAGTTGACATAAGTCTTCTATGGCATTTTGTAACAGAATTTATTCCTCATTTATACCAAGCCTACAGATTACAATTCCTTTTGGGACTGAAAATTATACAGACTGGGATGAAGAGGCGATTTGGCATTGCACCACAGTAGGAATGCCCTTCGTGTCGGAGTCTGCTAATACCATCCTCCATCTTCACATTGCCAAAGGTTCCACGTGACACGAGGCTACGGTTAATGACCCCATGTCTCAAGAGGGTCACAATCTAAACAACGAAATTTTGATTTCTAATCACTTCAACAAGCTGGGAGAAGTCGGAGGATAATTATGCAATTAGTGACAGGTACATTGTATGAATACCGTAGAACCTATAAAACCCACCATGGGTAGATGATCCACCATAGTGGAATAATTAAATGCGAAAATGCAATCCAACGACACGCTACTTCAATAATGAGTCTGGCTTCTGATCTTGCTGTGTATTATTTTATAGTAAAAACCAAGAGATGCTCACAATGAAATTGGTAACTGCATCCCTCAGAGCATTGTTGTGATTCACAATCGAGTTTCTGTAAAAAGAGTCGAAAGGAAACGTGTGGCTGGAGAGTTGTAACACGTGATAGAGGTATCATTTACCATAGATACATTGTTGCTTTTCTTTCGTTGGACGCGTGACCTTTTTAACTATATTTAATTGTCACGAAGTGAAAGGAAATGTTTATCATGCACTCGTCCGTACGTCGTCCGCAAGGTGTGAACATTTTACCATCACCACACAGGCAGGTGAGAAGTAAACCCGTCTCCTGATGAAGCATTTAAATTTGAATGACTAAAGACAACATATTGAAAGGGTAAAATATTATACTTTGCAGCACATCTTGCACTTCACATTCACTATTCAGAAAACAAATCATATAAATTGTTTTCATTAATTTTGTTTTGAAAGCACACAAGGACCTCCAGCCTAGACCATCCATTGTCTGAGCATCGGTCAAGCTCACACGATACCTTGGCGTTGACGGTGAATGGTGAGAATAACACCAAGGCTCGTTATACCGGCCTGCAATTGATAATGTAAGTGTTACGGAAACGTTAAACATTGTTATGAACGTTATCAGACACGTTCAAACGACCTACAACTTACTTATTTCTCTTTCCACCCCTTACAGAGTTTGAAATTAAAATAGTATTGCTAATGCTAAAATCAAGGGAATTGAAGGTGTTACAGGAAGCAGATTTGGAAAAATTTAAAAACAAACAATGCTGTGACTCAAAGTGTTTGGTTTTTTTATTGCCTCCTACAAACTTGACCTAGAAAAGACTTGCTTTTGTTCAAATATTAGAAAGACAGTCCATGAAAAAATCTAATATTTTATTTTTTGACACATTAATTTGCTGCAATTTGATGCGGTGTTTTCCATTTCATAAAAAATATATAAACATTTCAATTACATGATTGTGGCTATGTGAAGATCACCGCTATGTGTCATCCATACCGTCATCAATGACAAAGGAAAATTGAAAAAGTAGTATGCTTTAACAATAGACTGGTATCAAACAACGAAATGAATGAAAAATTAATCATGATTGATGTATGCTGGCTATCCATTTGCATAACATCAAAGCCGACGTAAGCAGACACTAATTAGTCACATCCGCATTGAGTTGATCACTAGTAGCTGATAACTATGTCATTATTGCACTGACAACATCTCCATGACGTGCTCGGATAACTTACTGTTATATTCTGCAGTTCATCAATAATACCCATACGGTTCGCTGAACCCTCATCACGTTCCGCTTGAACTATCTGTTGTAATCGATGCTACTGAAAGTGCAGTTGTCACTAGAATATATCAGGTGAATATGCATCTGACCACAAGCTAAGGTTGACCAGTGCAAAGGGTTCAAATTCCGTAAGAATATACGGAACACATTACTTCTCTCACTATTCATTCGCACTGTTCATAGCATGTCGACAATCGGTTCACTTGGCTCTGTTGATAGCGTGTTGATAATCGGTTCAGTATCTGTGTTTGCATCGTGGAAATCAATACAGTCAATATTGACACATTAAGGAGGATGAGTTTCAAATCAGATTCAACATTTATCATCACACAAGCAAGCCCTTTACTCATTAATAGATTCACACATTCATAGATTTAACATTTAAATGAAGCCGCTTTGTCGGCAGTAGCTCCATGTTCACAATATATGTTCCGCCAATGAATGCTTTGTGGTTAAGTTAATGAAAGTAATTAAGGCGACAAATCGCTTTCCATAATCCTAATAAAAGCAACAAAACCATTTCCATATTCATAAGAAATCTATGCTGAAAACAGCCGATTGCACGATTCCGGCTATATTATACGCATGTGTTTATGAATCACTATTAAATAGGGTTGATGCCAGGTGTTCCCGAAAAGGAGAGCGTATCCTGCCCCGTCGGTAGCACCCGTCACAAACACATGCAAGGGCAAGTCAATCGTTCAACTGCTAAACAACAAGGGATATATGGTACATCGTTTTTGTCACAAACCTTATGGCAACACTGGCATTGTTTTGCTCAATATTTCCCCAGTACACATTATACCCGAACGGACGTACTTCGTGTGTCGTTATCTCAATACGCAATGGACACATGAATCAGGTATAGAATACACATTGCTAAAATCTGTATTCCAGAACACAGACTCTGTATTTATGACGAATGATTCCCATTTCTTCAGCCCAGTTCAAACCATGCTCTGCATATCGAGGTAGCTTTATCCCCATCAATACACAAATATCATTTAGGCGCATCTCTTTAAAACAGTTCCAGCACAACAAACGCCTTTGAGCACTATGCAATACAACGTAGCGGGGCCTAGTCATAACCCGACGAATCTGACCAAAGTAATTATACTTTATGCTGCAGAGAGCCTGATAATCTATACTCAATAGGCCGCGACTGCAGGCCTGGTACGTATTGTGTGTCGGCGTTTGTATCTGCACAGCATCGGGTGATTCCTGGCATACTTAATAGGGAAATATCCCAATTGTTGCAGCTTCTAACACCGATTTTACTGTGTGTGTTAACTGGAATATCACCCTTATTGCTTTCAAGCGTAAGCGGTATCGACACTTTGTAGATGTTGACTGTATTTTTATGGGCTGATCCTGGGAAATAAATTGTTAACGCAGTCACAGCTCTATTTAGTGACTGTGTCACATGAGTAATAGAACCAGGCACTGAATGTTACAGATGTTGTACTGTAGACCTATGATGACACGCTGCTGGGAGAGCAACGATGGTATCCCTGTCACATCTATTTCAATGTTGGTAAGCGCCGGAA